TACTGTCCCAAAATCTCCCTGTTTGTTTAAGTGTTGGGACACTTCGGACTGTCCCAAGACCTGCCACTCAAGTGTTCGGACACTTCGCACTCTCCCAAGACCTGCCACTCAATTGTTGGGACACATCACAGTGTCCCAAGACTATCTGCTCAAGTGTTGGGACACTTCGTACGGTCCCAATACCTCTTTGTTCTTGTGTTGGGATGCTTCACACTGTCCCAAGAACTGCTGTTCAAGTGTTGGGACACTTCGCACTGTCCCAAGACCTCCATGTTTAAGTGTTGGGACACTTCGCACTGTCCCAAGACTTCCTACTCAAGTGTTGGGACACTTCGCACTGTCCCAGGACCTCCCACTCAAGTGTTGGGACACTTCGCACTGTCCCAAGACCTCCCACTCAAGTGTTGGGACACTTCGTACTGTCCCAAGACCTCTCACTCAAGTGTTGGGACACTTCGCACTGTCCCAAGGTCTCCCTGTTTATTTAAGTTTTGGGACACTTCGGACTGTCCCATGACCTGCCACTCAAGTGTTGGGACACTTCGCAATGTCCCAAGACCTACCACTCAAGTGTTGGGACACTTCGCACTGTCCCAAGACCTCCCACTCAAGTGTTGGGAGACATCACTCTGTCCCAAGACTACCTGCTCAAGTGTTGGGACACTTCGCACTCTCCCAAGACCCTTCCTCCAAGTGTTCGGACACTTCGCACTGTCCCAAGACTTCCCTGTTCATATGTTGGGAGACTTCCCTTTTCCCAAGAAATCCACTGAAGTGTTGGGACACTTCGCCTTGTCCCAAGACCCTTCCTCCAAGTGTTGGGACACTTCGCACTGTCCCAAGACCTCATACTCAAGTGTTGAGACACTTCGCACTGTCCCAAGACTACCTACTCAAGTGTTGGGACACTTCGTTTTGTCCCAAGAACCCTCACTCAAGCGTTGGGACACTTCGCACTGTCCCATTACCTCCTTGTTTAAACGTTGGGACAGTCGGATCTCTACTTCTTTGGTGTTGGGACACTTAGATCACTATCCCCGGTACCACCACTTGAGCTCTAGTATTGAAATTTCCCCAAAACCCAATCTTACTGACCAAAAGTTTTATCTACTAGCACCCTTGTTATAACCTCCCTTTATTAATCCGATGCAAGTTGAAGCACGACTTGTTAGCAAGCGTGTTGTGATCACCTCTTCGTCAAAAGCCGATAAAATTAGTTCCAAAAACGTTTAAAAAAATCTAAACGAGAAAAATGATAAAAAACAGAAAGATGAACGCACCCAATGTTCAAAGGTGACCAATATCGTCCTTTCGTAAAAAAATGTCTGGTACCTGATTGTCACGCGTTTTCCTCCCCCTACTAACGATCTTATGGTGTATTCTCCTTTCGGGTTTCAAAAACGGTCTGTTTCCGATCCCCCTACCCAATCCGACCAGGTTACCTACCTTAATTCGATCTTAAATTTGGATATCATTGCGTTTCAAGACTTCTTCTGGGTCTAAAGATGAATTTTTCCAGACTCTGGGTCTACTTATGTAACTAAATCGACGATATCGATTGTAGAGTTACTATAATGTGTCCCCCTTTTTTACAATTTGCAAACGCCAACCTCTATCTTAACCAGCCCCCTTCTATCCTCCCCCCTATTTAGCCCCCTTTTAAGCTGAAAATTACTTTATGCGCGATGGGTGCTAAACCTCTTGAGAGAAAACCGTAGTGCCTGTTTCCAAGCTCTGCTCAAGTAAAAACGTATCCTCAAAACAGTGGGTATCCGCTTATCCAATTTTACACTTATTTCCTATAACGTAATGTGGATTTTAACGATACCCGATTGACCAAACAAAACACCCCTGTGTGTCCTTCTCTGTTTGTTCTGATTCCGTGCTGGTTGTCTCCTTGGCGCGTCCAGCACCTCTCTCCAGCACCACTTTCCCACTTGGCTGGTCACCTGTTCCAGTCAAGTCTCCCAGTGGTCCGCCGATTGACCAAACAGAACACCCCTGTGTGACCTTCTCTGTTTGTTCTTGTCCGTGCTGGATGTCTCTTTGGCGTGTCCAGCACTTCTCGGGTCCCCCTCCTGATTACCACTTTCCCACTTGGCTGGTCACCTGTTCCAGTCAAATCTCCTAGTGGTCCGCTGAAGTTGCAAGCTATCTGAAAACCCTTAACAACTCCACACACTCGGGCACCTGTATATAGTTGCTGATTTGATCAAAACGATCGGTCATATGAAAACATTATGGGTATACTATTTAATTAATTTGAAGGTTTGATCCAACTAATCTGGTATCAAAGTCACTGTTCTTTTTTGTATGTTTTATGTTTTTTTTTGTTCCTGTTCCTTTTGCTTTTTGTCTTTTAATCGTTTTTTGTCCACCTAGTTACCCCCCCCTTACTCGGTTAGCTAGGCCTCGTTCGGAAAACGCACCAGGAAATTTTCTCGAGTTTTCTTGAAAAGCCATCGCGGTACAACCGGAAGGCTTACATGTTCCCGCTGAACCGTACCACCGGTACTCTAGATTGGGCATGTAGCCAGGAGCTGTGTCAAGTGGGTTTAATCCCGTAGTCTTGATGTCGTAAAAACACCCAGGAGCGCCATAAAAACACTATGTAACAGTCGCCTACGTAAGTCACATATGAGGTTGAAGAAAAATAGGCCCTATAAACATTGGCTCAAGAGTTAGGGACACTATCTCTTTTGTTTTTCTACCTCGAACGGTCGGAGCCAATTCGGTTCACTTGCGACATGAGACTAAAACCTTTGTTATAGCTTAACGGTCACTACCAAAATACCCCCACTCTCGATTGTAGTTCGGTTCCTCTGATCTTATTTTCGAATATTTTCAGTTGTCGCGAGAAACTTGAGCATGACATGCTCAATTCGAATTTCTGAAAAATTCCATTTTACCACAAAAACATGTCTTTTGCGTTGCTCGAGGTCAAACTTTCCAATATGAACGACTGGCGCACAAAGTCACATTTCTTTCCTGATCTTCCTTCAACATTTCTGCTCTTTCTCCCACGTCACAATCAAACGTTTTCCACGTTCTTTTCACTGAGGTAGTCGCTGCATCTCAGACCCTTCTGGGCGAATGTCAAAATCAACTAGCCAGCAACTCCTCACAGACCAGATACTTATTGACAGACCTGTCTCTAATTCCCCTCAAAGGGCGCTCGACAAACAGGCACAAACATCAAACATGTCATATACTTATTAAAAAGCTTATAACAACAATTAATCTTTAAGGTTTATCACAGCAATTGACAAATGTTATCACCAGAGGCATTACTTATCAGGAAAAAGAAGCAGGAATTTGATACTGAAATTTTAGTCCGAACATTATTTTGGATGTCGTAATTAAATTTATGATTCAGAAGATTCCACACAAATTAAATGAAAATGTTCTGAATATTTTTAGAGGTTAAAAATCTTTGTTTTCTAATTAATTACTTTTGAAGGTCAACTGTGATTGAATATTTTTCTTGCGTGATGTTTCAGAACGCAAATGTATGTGAAATATAATTAACCTTTGTAAATTGATGTTTTATGGTCATTAAGATTGGTTTATTGTTCAAAGCCTGACGATGCGCATAGTTGCGAAAAATTTGAAATCTTTAATATATTTAAATGTGGGCCTCACTGTTTCGCCATGTGAAAGCTTATTTAATGTGTTTTTTTGCATTTTTAAGCTATATCGTATATTGCAATGGCTAATATTTTGCTTTCGATTTTCAGTTTCAATCCAGTGTTTATTCCATCAAGTCGGAAGTTAGCAACCCAGTAGTGGGATATTGTGAGGGTTTTTCCCAGTTTTTGCGCTTCTCGTCTTCGTATGTGAATAACCAAATCCTTTTAGTTAACGAGATACGGCAATTTTCGAGATTTTTGAAAAATTTCTAGAAAAACTAATTTCAAAAAATTTCTCAATTTTGGAATTTCTTGCCGTGTAATTGGGTGCTGTCAGGGTACTCTCAGGTGTTGCAAATCGTGCCTCCAAATCTCACATCTCATATCCTTGTAGTTTTCGAGGTATGACGTTTTTGTGATTTTTTCAAAAAGTTTTCAAAAAAACAGATTAAAACTTTTTTCAAAATTTGAAATTCCTAACCTGTAGTTGGTGGCTGTCAGAGTAATCTGAGGGGTTACGAATCTGGCCTCCAAATAAAAATGTCCTATTCTTTTTAGCTTACGAACTACGACGATTTTTGTGATTTTTCATAAATTTTCAAAAACTCAAATTACAAAATAATTCACAAAGTTGAAAATCCCATCCCTGTAATTGGGCGCTGTTAGTTCTGTCAAGGATTGTGAATATTGCCTTCAAATAAGACTGCTCAAATCTTAGTAGTTTTCGAGATGTGATGTTTTATCTGGTTTTCAAAAAAATATCTTTTTTTAGAAAACATAAGTTTGAAGTTTCTCCAAATTTGAATATCCCAACGTTGTAGTTATGTTCTGTAAGAGTACTCTCAGGAGTTGCAAATCTTGCGTCCAAATGCGACTGCTCAATTGCTTAGTTCATTTTAAATTTTTCAAAGAACCTATTTAACGTTTCACAAAATTTAATGGTTTTTCAAAGTTAGTATTAAAAAAACTTGAATAAAAAATTTTTGCAAAATTTGTGATCACGAACCCTGTAATTGGGTGCTGTCAGAGTACACTCGGCTTTTTTTCAGTTCCCCCCTTTCAAATTCAATTTTGAAAAGCTTATTTAACATTGTGATAATGCAATGAAATTTGGCGTTTTGAATGAAACGACAACTGTGAACAGATTTTTTTCATACTTTACAGTATAACATCACGCATTTAGCCGTAATACTACGTAAAACAAACATAAAACTCGGTTTTTTGAAAGGGGGATCTGGAAAAGAGCCGTACACTCAAAGGATGCGGATCTTTTTTCCAATATATGCAATTTTTTATGAGTTGTTAAAAATTCGAAGCACCGGAGGTGCGTTACACGCTAGCTTACTTTAAATCAGTCGTTTTTTTTTTCAGTCGGCAATGAACAATGGAAGTTATTTTGCTCTCAGATCACAGCGGCGAAAAACTCGTCAGTTTAAATGGATATCTATACACGCAACATTCGACAACCGGCCAAGCCATCATCTGGAGATGTAAAGACCGTGTTGAGCGGAATTGTCCTGCTCGCCTGCGCACTTCAGTACAGCTTACTAATGCAGTGAGTGTTAACTCACACAATCATCCTCCCAGCACAAATGAAACATCAGCTATAATTCAGTTAACTGAGGAGTATTCCAATCTCAAACGTTTACATGAACAATCTGAAGCCTCCAATCTTAGGAATAATTTCAATGAAGGTCTTTCGAACAATTACCATGAAAGCGGCCTTGACCAAAACAACGAGCTTTTGTTTACAACCGATGCCTTAGGAACAGATTTTCCTTATGATGAAAATGAGGGAGAGCCAGATCCCGCTGACCCGCCTTTTCGGCCACCCAATTTTTCGAGCAGCAGTCGACCCCGTGGTAGAGGTAAAAAACGGAAACATGAACATCAGAAAGTCACAGGAAGAACTTTTCAGAATAAAAATCATAATTCTCTTGAAAATGAACTGATTTTACAAGGCTCTAAAGAAGTGGTACAATTCAGCTCCTTGTCCGGTATTTTTGACAATGAAGTGCGAATCAAACGGAAGAAGAAACCTAACTCAATATATGGACCTACGAGAAAAGAAATGCCTCCTGATCCTCGCTACGTAAGTGAAATTTCAATAGAAGGAATGTGGGCAACAACAGATCTGAACCCTCCTCAGAGGTTTTTGCTTTACGACAACCATGAAGACAACTCAGACAAAAGAGTGATACTTTTCATAACCGACGATCATTTAAGTCTATTATGCAATGCGTTCAAAGTTCATCTTGAGTCGACACTCCCAGTTCCGCCATTTATTTTTGCTCAACTGTTGCTTATACAAGCGTCGCTGCCAGACGCCAACGTTATTGTGACTCTTGGCTACGCTTTCATGGGATCCAGATCTGAGATCTCGTATGTTGAAATATTCCAAGCCTTGAAAAGCAAAGCAAGAGATCTCGGGATTTCCATGAGTTCGTTTCAAAACGGGGTGATCTATATGGACTATGAAAAACCTGCAGTAAATGCGCTCATTAAAGTCTTCGGGACGTCTATTAAAATAGAAGGCAGGTTCTTTCATTTGAGCAGAGTAGTTTGGAAGAAAATTGTTGACCTGGATTTAATTCAATGTTGTCAAATTTCCGAAGATTTCAAATTATTTTGCGCTCAAATTGTTTGCTTAGCTCTTTTACCCCTTGCTGATGTCAGAAAGGGAATGTCTCATTTAAAAGAAATTGCTCCCCCAAATGATTTGAAGGTAGATCTGCTTTTGGATTGGTTTGAATCTACGTTCGTATCAGGAGCTGTTAAGGCTGCTCGTTTGCCAACCAAGGACATCCAACCTCGTTCAAATGGCAAAATGAACTCGGGTGTTGGAACTACTCCAGAAACGATAGAGTTGCACCAAACTCCAGCTCTTTTCCCGCCTGAAAAATGGAACATTAGTGAAGTTTTAATAACAGCCAATCCTCGAATTGAGAACCAACTGGAAGGGCCATACCATTCTATCAAACATTTAATCGGCCATAATAGGTCTGCATTTTACAGAGGTATTAAATATATAAGAAATGAACATAAATATGTATGTGAAAGGTTACGCGAGTACGAAAAACGAACGTTGATTACGCGAGTTCCTCGTCTTCATTTAGTCGACGCTCAACAGACATTATGTAGATTGTTGATATCTTATAGAGAAAGTGAAATCGACCTTGCGACATTCCTCCTTAGTTCGGCCAAAACAATAAGGCTTGGATCGATGTGAATTTGCAATGAATGATTGTTCGTAATTTGTCCAATTGTTTCTTGAGTTTATATTTAGAAATTTGTTTAACTTGAAAATCGATTCGAATTGATGAAAATGAGCCAGAGAGAACAATTAAGTTACTCAGGTTTTTTTACTCTGTTTACATGTTGAAAGACAGAAAATTTGTTTCAGATGTCAAAATGAGAATTTTTTTTTCACATCGGGTGGTAGCCTTTTTTTTTTACAAAACACTAGGAAGCAAGCTCAAGATAATTTGGTCTGGGCACATTATTAATGATTATTAATGATTAGTGAAATTATACCCCCCACAAAATTTGTTGAGGTACTTAGGCGACTCGCTTTTACATTTGCTTATCAGTTGACCCGACTCTTTTGGCGTAAGTTTTGATTGACTAAAGAAGCAAAAATTGATCAATTTGAGGTAAAATTTTGGATCCAATGTTCTGTAAATAAGTCCATAATAATTCGGTCAAAACTCAAAATCATCTTCGTTCTTCTCTTTTTGTCTAATTTGGAAACCATTTTGAGAAAAAAGGCCTTCAAAGTTAGTAATACTCAGCGTTTTGTCCCTACTGAATTTATTAAACAGCAATCTGCCAACGTTGAGCAAATTTTGCATGCAAATGTGAATTTTAGGTGGACTTGGGACATACTGTGTCATAAAACTTAGCTTTTGCATGCAAACGTTGTCTGAAATAGGTCACTTTTTAATTAATTTTGTGTTGCAACTTTTTGTGATTCTCGATAGCAATATATTTTTTTGAACGAATATGACCGAAGGTCATTAGTCTATAACTGCTGATTTTGAAGTCAGTTATGATTGTTTTTGGTTTCATTTGAGCAAATAAAAAAACTAATATCAAATAATCTGATCTACTTAAAATCACTCTGTTTTTTGACCGATTAAGATGCCCAAGGTCATCAAATTTCTCAAATGGTTCGGCCCTTACAACAGCGCTCTTGGTTTGGCCCTTACAACAGCGCTGATTTAATTTATGTGGACAAAAGATTACTTTATGTGGACAAAATGAACATAATTTGAAACTTCAAACGCGTGTTTAACCAATTGGGTCAAGAATAGACAAAAAAAAATAATGAGATCTAAAATTGCTTAGAATTTAACTAGAATTATTATGTTGCACTTTATTTTGCGAGATACTGTGCCAAAATTCTGCCAAAAAATGGTTTGTTAAGTCCAGTGAGTCAATTGACGAGCAAGCTATACAAAGTGAGCCTCTTATACAGTTCAACAAATTTTAGAAGGTTTTAACCTAAAATTTTGCGCAAAACCGTGTTTTCAAGCAAAGAATTGGAATTTTATAAAGTAAAAATGACATTTTCTGGCTTTCAAACAAAAATATATTCATTTATACTACTTTTTGTTGGTTATACTCTTCTAAAAAAAATTTTGAGCTATATAGAGGCTGAATTTGATATAGCTGGCTCATCAATTGACTCATTAGATTTAGCGTAAGTTTTGGTTGATTAAAATTATCCAAAGTGAACAATTTTTGGGGAAAATCTTCAGATATTTGCTAACTAAAATGCACCATAATAATTCTTGTTAAGTCTAAGCAATTTTAGTTCGCATCATTTTGTCTTAATTCAACCCAATTTGCAAAAAAAACGCGTTTAAATTTTCAGTTTTGTCCGGATAATTTAAATCAGCACTTTATAAAGAGAATCAAAAAAAATAAGAGAATCATAAAAATAAGAGCAAACGAATTGAAATATAGTTAATGCCAAATGGTCGGCAAATCCTTTTCGGTCAACGAATCTGAACGAAGTTAATTAACCTAAAATTGCCCATTTCGACGTTGGATTTTATTATCTCATTGATTTCCAAACGTAAAAACTGTTTACGAAAATTTGTTTAACCCAAAATGCTTTAGTTTTGCGCTATTAAATTGCTCAAGGTAATCGATATTGCCGAAAAGTTGGCCTTAGCTATAGATACTACAATTTTTTTATGCAATCATTCGTTTTCAACTAAAAGATTTCAAGGTCGGTTGAAAATTCAAAGATGCATACAAAGTTTGTTAAAAATTGGCTGTCAAACAAGTTTTGCATGTAATTTTGAATTTTGAGTGAAAACGATTTCCGAAAAACTACTTAAGCTAAAATGCTATGTTTTTGACCGATTCAACAGCTCAAGGTCACCTTATTTGCCAACACATATTTAAAAATTTGTGCATCGCGACCTTTGCAATTCAGCAACTGCAGCTCTGATTTCAAAGTATAGCTTTGTCTTAAATTTTTTAGACAACGTCTTGAATTTATGACCTTGAGACACTGAAATGGCGTTAAAACTGCAATCGAATTTTCACAACTGCATTTGAACTGACAAAAGAGCAACGCAAAATGAATGCGCTTTTTCGGAAAACTTCATTTTTGCCATATTTCAAGCAAACATTGAAAAAACTTTTTCATTCAACAACAATTTGCCATGTATTTTTAGAGAGCAAAAAAACAAAATGCCGACTAAAAAAGCAAACGCAAAACTTCCTGGAAGTATTTGGTTTTAGTTTAAATTTGAAGGTCAGAAATAGTTCAGAAATTTAATACGTTGTCCGATATATTTATTAAAAGCTGTAATCATAATTTGTAGCAAAAATTTGGGGCACAAAATTAATTTAAAATAGTATTTGACCTATTTTGGAAAATGTTGCTTTCAAAATCTAATTATCAGTCCGATTTTGTGTCTCAAGGTTATCTGAAAAAAGAATCTGCACGCAAAAATCTGTCAAATGCTACGATTGCTCTTTTTAATTAATTCTGTCTGTCCGAACTTTTTTGAACTCTCTATAAAAGTGTTTTGCCACTCCCCATACCAAGTGCACTTTCAGATCTCCGGATTGTTTTTACCTACATAGACCTAATCAAGCAAACATGACTGAAAAGCAAGACAACACGCTGTCCCTGAAAACGAACGATGGAAAGGTAGTAACTCTCTTGATTTCTGTATTCCCATTAGAGTTTCTGTTTTGGAGCAGCAAATAATAGTAAAGCCTGTCACTGATTTCCAAATTTTCGAAAGAAATTACTTTTAGAAGACCATTTTTGACCCTATTTGAAAGGTTTTGACTATGAACGCGCGTTTCCTCAAAATTTGTATATATATAATCACGCTTTAGAAAAAACTTCGTCGGTCGGCCGAAATGGATGTGGTAAAATGATACTAAAAGGGGGTCTTATGGGTGGTCAGGGGGTGGAATCCTTGGGAGGGGCGTCCGATCCCCCTCACTTGAAACCGCTCCTGGTTGTGTTCTAGGTGTTCAAAGTGTTGGAGAGTGAGGTGTCAAAGGCTGAGACTATACGGAGGATGTGTGCGGATGTTCCAGCTGCCGAGGGAGAGGACGAGGAGATACCTCTCCAGAACATAAGCTCCACCATTTTCAACAAAGTCAGTCGCTAACTTCTTTTCTTAGCTTAGTTGTTTTTTTTTACAATCATTTCGGGACATCGATGTGCACTCATTGGCCGGTTTTTTCTCCGTAATCAGTGCTGGAGGTTGTTCGACACCTGATCTGTCCGACGAAAGGTGTGAAATTTGTTCTTCCAGAGCTGAGAGCCCCGGGAAACCTACCGGTTGATGTACTGAAAGCCTTCGATGGCATCCTTTAGTGCGTCAGAGATCGCCAAGAAATTAAAGCATTTGCTGTTTGAGCGATCTAACAATTTTTTTGGTGGTTCCTGGTGTGGGATGTTTTTATCATCGTCCAAACGATGTCTGGCTGTATCTTTCCAGGCAAGGCAAGAGGTCGACTAAATACTGTTAATGTCCGGGAATTTTCTCCTTGTGCTGAAGTAAGCGATATACTGCTAGTTTATGTATTTTTGCTAAATGTGTTATACATATACAGGTGCATTCATGTTGGAGAAAAAAATGATTTTAGGTGTTAGAATGGCTGAAGCACCACAAGGACGACCCTCCGATGCCGGAGGATGACGAGAACCGCGAGAAGAGGACAGACGACATCCCTCCCTGGGACCAGGAGTTTCTCAAAGTAGACCAGGGAACCCTGTTTGAAATCATCCTAGCCGCCAACTTCCTCGACATCAAGGTCAGTCACTGGCTCTTTCTTTGCTGAGGCGCAGTATTATGGAAGTTATGACTAGGAGTCACTTGGACTGAGGTATAAAAACGTCTCAAATGGTTGTGTTTCTCAAGTGAGTTTATTAGTGAGCTATTAGTTGATGCCGGATACCTTTCTTATGCATGTTTTCAATGCTCAGTGTTGACTTCTAAAATGATGTTAATTAGGGACTCCTGGACGTGAGCTGCAAAACTGTGGCCAACATGATCAAAGGCAAGACGCCAGAGGAGATCCGGAAGACATTCAACATCGTCAACGACTTCACGCCTCAGGAAGAGGAGCAGATCAAAAAGGAGAACTCCTGGTGCGAGGAGAAGTAAATGAAGAGGAGGGAAAAACACAGCAGGCATCGCAGGCAGTGACATTTTTGTCGCGATGTAGATCGCAACAAAAAAGGCAGTTTGTTGCGATGTAAATTGAATGTATACATACTACAAGAACCTCGACATAGGCTAACTACATTTACAATTGATAGCAAATACAAATAAAATTAATTGACAAATTACTAAGTGTCGGTGTTCCGAGAACTAATTAATTACTTGAGATCGCACTTATTTCTCAACTTCAAATATGAAAAATGACAAATAATTAATAGAAAATTTGATTGGGAAATAAGGTGAAAAGATGTTGCTAAAAGTTGTTGTCAATCGTGTAAAATACTTTCATTTCTACTACAGCTGGCAAATTTAGTTATTTCCTTAGAACTAGTTTTGAGCTTGTTTTGATCGTCATGTTTGTACCAGAAGTATTTTCTGAAATATGTTATAAAGTTTCGCTTCAGATTTGAACTTGACATAGTTATGCTAATGACTAATGTTGAATGAGTTAGAGTCGATGAACGCAGGGAAGACTCTTAAATAGGTCGTAAATATTTGCTTTTTTTTCTCAAAAAAAAGTTTTTTTTACTAAAATTATTCACGCTCAAATTTGATTTTTCGCGTTTTGACTTCTTTTGAGGCAAACTCCACTATCGAACAGAAAGTGTGTAAATGTCACGAAAAACGAGATTGACTTCTATTTTCAATATGGTTTTAATTTCCAGATTTCTCTGGAACAAGAAAATTACCTATTGACCGAGTTTTT